TCACGAGGAGGTATGGTACTAAATTATGCATAAAGGTTTGAAACCACCTGATGGAAGATGCTGCAAATGTACAGCATGAATAAAAATTATAAAAGATCTGGTCACTTCTACCAGTTAATGCATTCAAAACCATAAACCCCTGGCTGAGCTTTGAAGGGCCAAATAGTTCAGAGGATAAAACGATATCCTTATTTAAAAGTTGTCCTCTTTGAAAAACTTCCCCAAACATTCAGCCAAAGCAGAAGGATTTCCTTTAGGAAGCCGGATGCACCTTTTTCTGTGACTGTAACTGGGCTTTGGATTATATATCTTTGGGAATTCCAAAGTGTTAAGAAAAACAATAGCAGCTTACTCAGTAGCATTACATACTTACAGATAGGATTAAATACTTGTTACATGTCTTACCTTGAGACTAATGGATTCACCTGACTTTTCTAATAGCAAAAATAATGTCGATAGAATTATGCTGTGAACATGAGTCAGCTGCACAATTTGTCTCATCATTATCTGACAGATTGAACATATTTTGTTACACCAAACAGACACGCAGTGTGCTTCTTACTTGTATTATAGAAGTTTAACCCTGGCTTAGCTGCATTTATTAAATAAATCATAAAAGCTGTTTCAGGTACCTTCAATATTTTAGTATCGTGGGTTGCTTTTTCAAGAGTTCTCTGTCCCCAGCTGGGGAAAAATTTCTTCTCAACCTGAAATCAGTGCACACAAATTTGTGTGGTTGTATCAGCACATTCAAGCTCGTTCAGAAGTTGGCCTGGCTCACGTAAGCTATAGACACAGCTGTTACACCAGTGGGATGAAGTAGGGAAACAGCTCAGAACAGACCTCTGCAGTCTCTGGACCCCTGACATTTCCTGTTTGACCCTGGACACATGCAACAGCTTCCTTGTCGAAGATCATAGACCAGAAGGAGCAAACAAATCTCTTGGCTCCACTTTTGAGGCAGGTGTCCCCTCTCTTGATATTTCCTGTGGTCTGGGAGACACAGCCAGCTGTCTGTTCAGTTCATGTGAGCAGTTTGTCTGAGGGATGGGGGTACAGAAGGGGAGCAGCCTTCATGGGACTTGTTCTGGTATATCAGATGCGATGAAGGAAAGGAAATTTATGCTGGGGTGTTGTGCTGTGAATGGTTATTCCTGTTAAGTCTTGAGAACAAAAATTCATCTTAATATTACAACTGACAGATACCTTCTTTTATGAGGCGGCATGGATTTCAGGTGTGTTTACTCTTGTTATATGAAATAAATATTACAGCTTTTTCTGGGATGTGGGCATTATTATACTGAATGCATACATAGTGTTTTACTTTGAGGTACAGATCATTCATCTAACTCATAATTTCTGAAAAAACATTGATTGCTCGATGCTTTCAGAGTCATGCTTTCTAACCAGATTGTCATCATTTTTAATCATTATTAGCTAAAGAAATGGTCCTGCCTTCAACATTTTGCTGGAACTGCCACTACTGTTGACAAGACTACTAAGAATTGTGTTTTGACCTTTGCTCTGTTTTCCCATTTTTTGGTCTCTGTTTTCACTTTTATCTCCTTATCTAACATCCCACTTTAAATGTTGCCCTCTGTTTTTTTCCACAGCTCAGTTGTCTTCTAGCTTCCTCATAACTCCCTAACCTTTCCTGCACAATTTCATGATTTCCCTTGTGTCAGGGCTTCAGTCACGATCTGTGTTCACCCTCCTGCATCCTGAATCCAGGTGATGTCCCCTACCTGCCTGGCTTGAGGATGTCTAAGCTGATAAATGTCTAATTAAGTGGGAAAATTAGAAACCTACAGGTCCTCTCTCTGTACAATGTTTAGCCTGACCTGTTTCTTTGCAATCCCTTTCTAGGTATGTCTCTATCAGATTCATGTAACCAAGTGAAGATATGTGTCCCTTGTTTCTGTCAGCCATATGTTTTTACTCACTACTTGCTCTATCCTGACAACCATAGTTTTGTCCCTCATGCCAGGCAATCTGGTGTTGTCTTTGATTTCATGTAACCCCAGGTTATACAGGTTATAGCCACTGCTTGCAACTTCTCCACCCCTGGTTTCTCACAGATATGTCTTCTTTCTGTTTGGATATTCACATATATCTAAATTATCCTCATTCCTTCTTTGGATTCTCCTTGGCAGCCCTGCTTGATGGTCACTTAGCTCTCCAAGCCAGAGCTACCGGGGACAATCCCACCAAACTCACACTGCCAGCACGATGCCTAACAGGGAACCCTTCTTTGCAGCTTCCAGCTTTGCCCTTTCCACACAGTTATGCCCTATTCCTCCCTCTACAGAATCCTTGTGGGCCCAGACACCTTCTGCCTGCAATGCCATCCCCTGCCTGGCCAGCTCCACCACGAGCACCTGCGTCTGGTGCCAGTTCGTGCACGTTGTCCACAGATGCTTTATCCTGTGCTTTCCTGTTTGCATGGAAAACACTACTGAAGCTTAGCTGTTAAATATTCTTTTCCCCTGACATCCTTCATAAAACCCACATTCATTGTGAGGTACACAAATGTCTTTCAAGTCAAAAATGTAGCTAAGTGATTTCTAAGGATAGCAGATGTTTATTTTTTGCTTTGAATTAGAATGAGAGAAAACACAAAAAAGGAAGACCAGACTTGCAACCAGGCTTGTAACCACATTCTTACCTATGGAGTATTACTATTTATTTTCTCCATTACCTTTCCTGATTCCTGCAAATAATCTTGTACATTCTTCTTTGTATCTTCAGTAGACCAGAAGCACTTCTGGGTTTTATCATTGTAAAAATTCTAGCTAAATGGGGTTCTGAAGTTGATGGCCCTGACCTGGTACTAGCTTAAAAGTCATAATATAATTAATAATTATTTTGAAAGCGTAACATCAGCTTCACATCATTGTTTCCAAACCCTGTTGGTTATGTATTACAGATGACTCTCTCCTAGTAAGCTTGCTTACTTATTACTTTTAGGGATTCTGTGCTGGGAAAATGGGTTGCAAAAGAGACTGTGGGTATCATGACCTCATCATTTGTGTTCAAAAGAAGAACAGCAAGATTACCATAATGCATTACTTTGTAAAATTATAACCCTGAGAAGTAATAAGATTCAATTACATTTTTTTGGCAAAGTTCTTTTTAAGAAAGTATCTGTCTCATGACTCTAGTATATTCTTTGTCTTGATCATTGGTTAACAGTCCTCATGAGGATTTTTCATCTCCTCAAACCTTGCAAGAGATAAATCCCTCTTTTCCTGTGGTCCGCTTCAGTCTTTGCATATGTGCACTTTCTAAAGCGTTAACTGTTAACAGTTGTGCCTAAGAAACCTAAATTCCTTACACAGCCACAGTGCTTTATGATGCTGGAGAACAAATGCGGACCGCACAAGGAGCTTTCTTCCCCTTTGCTCTGCACAAGACCTGAAATGTCACACCGAACAAGAATATTCCACTTGTTGAGGCAGAGTGGTGGATCCTGTGGGCTGAACTTGTCTAAAACACAGAGCAGTTACCTCTGTGCAGTCTTGCATAAAGCCCATTGCGGCTACCATTAATGGTGGTGAAACCAAAGAGAAGATAAGCAGAGGATGCTGAAATAGGTTTGCTGATCCTCCATATACACACTTCAAAACTCAGGAGAGTCCTAAAGCGGGTCAGATTCACTCCTACAAACAAGAATGGGATAGTTTATAAACCAGCATAGAGAGTTGAATTTTTAACTGCTGTGTGAGTGTGATCTTTGTAAATGAAAGATAGATGATGGTACTGTGTATTACAGTTTTATTCTGCAAAATAATTTCAAAGGGTGATTTAAGAGGATCCTTTTAGTCTGCTTCTCATTTACTCTGTTTTCTTTTAAATGCTTTTTCTAACTCTTGCCATCCTTAATTTGAGAATTTAAAAGTCCAGAAGGCTCTTATTTTCTCTTGGGCTTACATCTATAGTGTTAATAGTACATACTATTCGGGGAAGGCATAGTTAATACCATGTAGGATATTAGTGGCAGAATAGGATTCAGGTCATCTTATCTCTCTATGTTTTATTTTGGAAGAGATAACAAGAAAAACATGTGGAACATTTTTGTCCATAATGCTGGGTGATAAAATCCCATAGGAGTTTAATGGTGTGGCATTTCTGCACATTTTTTTCCTTATATCACAGTTTAAAATGGGTTCCCCTGCTATAGGCTCTCAAAGGAATTTACAGTTGTCCTTTTAAGTAAGTGTTTATGCTGCTCAGCAATTTGGACTGTCCATCCTGACTCATTTTATAGCCTGCTCTGCTTGCCTATCTGTCTTGTATTTCCATGTACAAGGATTTGAGATTGCCAGCAAGAATATTTCTATGAGCAACAAGCAGAAATGATGCGTTGGACATGGACTTCATGGAGCTTTAAATGTTTTTAGAAAGGGAAGTGTTAACTTTGAATAGATGACGTTAGCACCACCACCAAGAAAGAAAGAAAAAAAAAGAACTCTGAAAAGCTGTATTGACTAAATCTTCTAACAATGCTTGTGATTTTCCTATATCCTGCTCTGTGTTTTTGTATGGATTTTTCATAGCACAGACAGACGTTACCCACACTGTGATTCAGCGTCTGTTCCTAGCTACGCTCTTGCACGATTTTAACCTGATTTCACGGGAGGAACAGGGAATGAAACACCGTAGCTCATGGTTGTCAGCAGTGAAAAATAGCCAGGAATCAGACAAACAGCTTCATTGCTGAGATTATTTCCGGGATAAAAACTCTTCCAACAGCTGTTTGCTTTGGCCACTACTCAGGTCCTTTTTTTTTTTTCAATCAGAAAAAAAAAAAAAAAGAGGTTTGTTTTTTTTTAAGATGTGGACTGGCTATTTATGTAGTCAGGAAGAGGTCTCTGCTTCCAGTGTTGTGGTCTCAGAGCTGTTTTGACAGTTGGAGTACAGGGAGGTTTCATCTCTTCTCTCCCTCCTTTTCTCCCGTCCTTCATTCACTTAATGCACAGACCTGGAATGCTGTAGGAAGAAGAGAAAGCGAATTTATGAGTTCTTTAATCCCAGACAGGCAGCTCTGTGGCAGTTACCTTCAAGAAAAGTTCACGCCCCAAAGGAGTGTTTAGTCTTACAGAGCCACTGACTCACTGAGCAGCGCGGGTGAGTGGCTGCGCGGGAGAAGGCGAGAGATGAAGGAAAAGTTTTGCTTCCTTGTGAAACTCATAATATTATTGTTTTAAGACATTTTTGAAAAGATGACTGCTACTTTTGTTTAAAGTATTTGTTCTGGAATTGCTGAAGCTGGAGTCTACCAGACTGAGGTCAGGAGCATTTTCTTTGGCAGAAAGAAGATACTTTTATAGAAGCCATGCCTGTACTTGGGGTTGCCTCCAAGCTAAGACAGCCAGCCGTAGGGTCAAAGCCTGTTCACACTGCCCTCCCGATACCCAACCTTGGCCCCGCCGGCTCGCAGCAGTACTCACCAAAGTCTTTGGAGCTTACTGGGGCGGAGAGCTCGATGCTTTCTTGTCAGCTTACGTTAAAGTCAACCTGTGATTTTGCAGAGAGGAGAGCGCTTCAAGGAAAAACCCAGGAGATTGAAGATAGCAAGGTTAGTTGTAAACTTTACCTGTGGATATCAATTCTCAGAAAAAGTTGATTTGCTCAGACGAAAATCTGATAGAAACCTACTGCATGCAGAACTCGGGGGTAATTGGGTAAATAATACACTTTTGCTGTCATCAGTGAACTCACATAGCAGCCTTGGAAATTTGTTTTGCTCAGTGTTGCTGTTTGAATAAATATTCTGTTCATAAATGTTAGTGTTAAACGCTTCACAGATGCATTTTGATAAGGATCAGCAGAATCATAAGTAGAGAAAAATCATTCCAGCACCCAGTAAGCAGAGCAATGACATGACAGTACTTTAAAAAAAAAAAAATCTTGGCTGCTTCATGTTATATTATGAAGTTTAAAAAGAGCTCTCACGCCCACACCTATTCCCACAGGGAGGGTCTTTTAAAATAAAAACAAGTAATTGATTTTCTTTACACTTTTCAAATGATCTGGCTACTCTTGCTGCAGAACTGCTTAACCAGAAAAACAGCTTCTCAGTGAAATGTACCTGTGTTTTTCTCTCCTGCTGAACCAGAAAAACAGCTTCTCAGTGAAATGTACCTGTGTTTTTCTCTCCTGCAAAATAGCTTCTTCCTAGCCCCTATCTAGCTCTGATTCATTGTGATTTTTTAAAAAAAAGTTTGTCTGAACTAGGATGCCACGATGTTTTTTAGACTGCTTAGAGTTTTTTCTTTTGTAAGGGGGTTCTTTTCGAGTCTTAACTAACAATTAGAAAGCTTCTGCTTGGTTTTCTACTAGTCTTTCTGCTGTAGTTGCAAACACTTTTCATGCTTTGAACATAAGTATTAAGTCCTTTCCTGTCAGTAGTATATATTCCTGTAGATCTTTCAGTCAGTACATTACGGCTGCATGTGTGGTTTAATAGCTTCAGCAAGCAGTGTTATGTGAGGTTACTTTCCCTTGCTTTTCTAGTACTTTTGGTTTGTGGAACTGATTACCACACTGGGATTAAACATATATTTGTAGTTGCTTCTTATTTAGTTTGAGGACACTTGAGTGTCATCAGAGTTGTTAAAGTGGCAAGATACACATAATATATGTACTTGGTTTTCCTTTGTTTTTAGTTACTGAGTTAATTCAGTATTAGTGAAGAAAGTTGGGTTTGTGGTTAAAGCATAGGGTTGGGATTCTGAACATTTGGTTTCCTTTTTAATCCCTGCCACATATTTCCCCATGAGATTTTGGTCATGTCACTTAATTTTTCCCTTGGAGTTTTTTGTATCACCTCTCCCTACCTTGCAAAGATGATGCATTGGTGGTCTCAGACATGCTATATAGAAATATAAAGAAGGAGCAGACTGTTCATCTCTTGATTACCAGAAGTGATGAACAGCCCTTTTCTATGACATGAGTGCGACATGAAGATAATACAACTTTTCGACACAATGTGATTCCTGCTTGAAACATAAAGAAAATATTCTTTATTTTTCCTCTTTAATGTTGTTTCTTAATGGATATTGCATGGAAAGTAAATTAGATTTAGAAGTACTATTTTCAGAAAAGAAGAATAGAGTTACATTGTCTACTGAGAGATGCTTCTTGATTCTTTCAAAAAGTGTGGAGAAAGATGTGAAGTCCAATATTCCCAGTGAAGCTTACTGGCAGCCCTTTGCCCAATATTCTTCCAGGCACATTTTCTGAAGGATGTTCTTTTATTTGCCTTTTACACAAGTTTCATGAAATCTTTTTGCTAAAGTAGTTTGGGCTATGAGGTGGGTGGTTATAACGAAGAAACTATTTTTAGGCTTTTCTTACTAGTAAACTTCAAAGTATCAGCCTAAAAGTATTAAATGCTATTTTTCTTCATCAGTGATGGAGATCCATGCTACCCTGTTTCCTAGTGCCTGGTAACCTCAGCAGTATGTCCAGGTTGTCTAAGCAGTAGTTCTAAGCACAAATTTGATGGAGTTGTTAGGGTTAATGTCTCTTCAGGTTTGCTGAGCAGATGCAAGTTCTGCATTATAGATTGTGTTGTCCCAAAGCTTGACCATTTGTGAGTGCTGTTTCCAATAGACCTTTGGTTGATTTCTTTGATTAGCAAACATATTAATCAAATGTGATTAAAATGTGATTACGTGGCTCTGTGATATACAGTGCTGTACATTGGGAATGTTTCATTATAACAGTGATCAGATAAAAGGTCTTTCAATCAAAATGCAATTAATACCTAGTCTGAGTTTCCAACTGAGAGTAAAATCTGCCTATATAGCATACTGCTTGTATTCTTACATTATATCATTGGATATAAGGGAACACGGATTTTTGAGGGAAAAATGATGGATAGCTATCTGCAAAAGACAATGGAACATATGAATTAATCATCTGATTAACTTTTGCCCTTGGCTGCTGGATTGCAGCCTTTAGCATTGCTTTCTTTGGTATTTTACATGTGCTGCACTGTGGGTCACCAGCTTTCTCATCCTGTCTGGAAGGCACTTAGATTCACACATGTAGTCACTGTGACATATCCTGTTGCTATCTATAAGTGCTAAGGATTCCAAGATAAATTTGGGTTATACATGTCAATACAGTAGGTCATTGCCACCCAGCTGTTTCCTCTATGGCCTTCAGCCTCACCACACCTGATTGTTCAAGACTTTTGACACTTGTGTTGGCTTTCTCACACAACTGCCTTGCCAAGGCTGGTTAGGAATACAGCTGCAAGCATCAGTTCTCTTTTCCCTAGGCATCTCTCCCATCTCACATGATTTTGCTGCACTTGCACATGTAGTCTTGGTTGTTTTCTTTTTTGTGGACATGATGCAGTTTGAAGTTTCATAAAAGTGATATTATTATTTTAATAAAAGCTATGGTAGGAAAAGTTTGAGGTGATTATGTTCAACTTTTTTTCTTAATTGGGTAGAATATAGTTAAGCGCAGGAAAGCAAATAATAAGTTGCTAATGACATAAATTATTCTGTGTGTAGTTTATTCAACTACACTTTTGTTCACAATATTCATAATTTTTGCTTTGGTACCTAAGTCACATACAGGTCCATCTGCTTTCTTGCTAAACCCACTAATGTTTAAACTGACTGCATGAACACTTACGATGTGACTAGTCATGCAAAATATTTGAACGCAAGCATTCAGAGCACATTCTTTTTCCCTGAGTATCATATAGACAAAAGTTTATTCCTATATATGTACACAGGAAAGGAATCCAGCTGCTGGATTCATGAGGTGAAATGCTGGGTCTCTTTGAAGCAGATGAAGTTTTGTTGTTCAGTTGGACCATAGACTATTTTTATGCAAACCCACGTCCGAAAACACCAATATCTTTTGTAATATTTTTCTAACTGTGGGTACAGTATTATTTATATTTCTGTGCCACCACTTTTATACTGCTGCTAAATTGAGACCAAAATTATTGGATCATGCTAGGGTGCCTTGTGATACTGTTCTAGTTGTAGAATGCGTTATTAAACAGTAACAAAATGAAAAACTATCAAGTGATATAGTAGAAATGTAAATTAAGCAATGGCTTAAAAACAAAGGAATGAAGAAAGAGTTTCTTTGCAAAAACAACTTATTTTGATCACTAAATGATACCTCTGGACTATATTGACCTGGAGCAAAATGCCAATGGCAATAGCATTTTACTCCAGGTCACCATGATTGATTTCAGCTGCCTTCGTACATTTGATGGTGCAGATGCAAGGGCACTGCCCTGAATCCTCTCTGGCACAAAGCTGAGCAGCTGCTGGGAGTTAGCACTCCTGCTAGGCATGCCAGTCTTCTGGCCTGGCTTCCCGGGGCTGCTCCTTGCAGTGTTGTTCTTTATGCTCCCAGGGTTTTCCTCCCATCATCAAACCTCCCTCTTTCAAGAGCACTGCACCATCATTTATGCTTGCAAACTGAATTTTCTCTGAGCTGAATCTGATATATTAATTGTGGTGTTTTGGTTATATGACTTGGATGATAAGATTTTAGCCTTCTTGCCTGAGTTAATTCATTCCTTTACTGTCATATTTTCTTTTTTTTTTTTTTTTCTTGTTTTTAGTTTCTCTTTGTTCATGCTATCTGTCTGCTGCTGTCTGCTTTATCTGCGTCTTCCTTCCTGTTGGCAGACAACTTTACAGACTTCTGCATATGACTTATTTTTCTCTGTATCCACTAATCAAGTCTTCCTGTCATGACTGAAACATTTTTCATATCACTGTTCATTATTGGAAAGTGCTAGTCAGGCACTACGACTGATCCAGTACATATATGTAAACCAAAAACTTTTCTAGATACTTCAGGTTTGGGGATTTATGTTAAGATTCTTGTAGTATGGAGATACTGGTATCCAGAGTATGCATGGACAGTAATTTGTGATCTCCCTTAGAGGGGTCCAGCCCCACCAAGTTCATCATTAAACAGTCTAAGACAGGAGGATCTCAGGGGAACTCATGAAATGAATCTGCTGCAAGGCCTTTTGGAAGAAATGCCAAAGAATATGATGTGCCCACCTGAGGAAAGTGACACAACTGGCTGCTTCTGTAGAGCACAGAAATCTGAGCAGTAAGACTGGGAAAGCGGTCTGTAAATCAGCAGAACAGAGAAGAATAGATGTGTTCTACCTGGGGAGCATGGCCAGCAAAGAATGGGGTCTGAAACACTTAGTTGTACCAAGTGAACATCATTAAAGTAATCTAACATGAATGTCAGTGTCACAAAACAGAGCTAAATACTTTGAAGTGATTAGGCAAAAAACCATACTGCTGTACACATTAACACATTAAAGTGACTCTTGAGGTCCATTTCATTTAATATCATACTATTGCATCTCAGTCTTTGTCTGAGGGCTTACAGTGTTCTTCAGCCAGCCCTGTTGCAGTAGGACATTGGAATGAGCATGGAAACTTCCCATTTTTTCCTCATCAGTTGTCAGCAGTTTGTCCGTGGTGTGGTAACTCCTGCCCGTCACCAGACACCAGACTTGGAGGATGGCTAGGCTCCTCTATCCAGACAGATCTGAAGACAAATATT